ATAGTTTTATTACCTTGCTTTTGCTCTAAATTAGGTCCTGCTCAAAGGGAGTTGCTGCAGGGCAGGTCTTCTCTGATAGTTTCAGTGAATTGCAGCTGCTACACCAAATGCACCTATTTTGTATAATATTGGGATTGTGCTCCCAGGTGAAAAAACAGGACACCACTTCTTGGAAGTGAGGACATTGAGATGTGTATATAGGTCATAGCACAGATGGCAGGAGAGATTGCTTGACACTAGGACAATGGACTCCTTTGATGGGGGAAAAAAATTGCTCCTCTAGAATTTGCCTGTCCCTCTGTAATGCTAAAGATGGCCTTAAAAGATAAGATGTCCCCAAGAGGTTCAATTAATTTGGCTCTCCCTCCCTGTTTCCCTGTAGTTTCCAAGATGAAAGTGGGAAGACACTTAAAGGGGAATAGCAGGAGTACAATTTGCATTCTTAAAAAGTCTAGTAAGTTCTTCATTTTAGGTTGAAATTTATTTCCTTCTCTCTCCTACGATTGCATATTTCTCTAAAAATAAAAACCACACAAAAATTAAAGAAAGTACCCACCCACCCCCCTCAAAAAAATGCTGCAGGATTAGTGCTAAATTCTCAGTACTAAGGAAAACCAACAGTAAGATTTTCTATTCAGCCTTAATTACAACCTCTTGGGTATAATGATTATGATGCCATTATTCCTTATGTAACTAATATCTATATTTTATATACAGGACTCCACATTTTTTCTTTTAGCAGCATGGCAGAGAGTAGGAAAGAATTCTTTAGGGACTTAAAAGGAAGTCCCGTTTCTTTCAATATGCAAAGAAGCTGTGCAGTCATTAACAATGAAGAAGTGCTGCTAAGATTCAGAATCAGGATCCAGAACCTCTCTTTTTCTTGCCACAGAGTCCTAGTATTATCTGAAGCAAAACTCTAATAATCCTCCTAAAGTCTTCTTGTGGTGTTATTTGTATTTGTTGTGTAAGGAGCACAAGGAAGATCACCCATGAATGTTTACAAATCACTCAATTTTGTCCCCATCTTAGTACAGAGCGTGGATGACAGAAAGTGGGCAGGAAGTGCAAACAAGATGAATAGCCAAACAAGGAAAAAAACCTCAGAATTTCATCTCATGTCAAGTTTGTCAGCATTGAACACTGAATAAGGCAGGCTCTAAACATAAACACTATCCACTAATGCCTTAAAACATTTTGTCAAAATGCAGACACAAAAGTTGCTGAATTGTCATTGACTTTTCAGGGCTTTGGCATTTCTGGAGTTGCAACAAAGCACTTTGAACGAATAAAACTCTGTGATGTCTGTGCCAAATGCTCCTGTCACCAAAGGCAGTTTCAGTTTGCATGCATTATGCAAAGTGCCTAGAGCTGTCTGCAGAGCAATGGTGTAAAATTCTGTCTTTAAATTGCCATTTACTACCTGTGAAATGAAAGCAAAAGAGTTCCTGTCCTCTTTATTAACAACTTCCATGAAGATGTTGTTCTATTTCTCTGTTCTTTCTAATTCACAGCATATTCTTGCTGTGGCTTAAAACTTATTGAGAGTGAAGAGATAAATATGAAGCAGGCACAGCTGACTTTTAGCAATTTCTGTTCGGGCAAGTTAAAGAGCCTATCCTATTTTGTGTCTTAAACTTTAGAATTTTTCAGTGTATGCAACAACAAAGAGCAGAGAACTGGTGTGGAAATGTTCAATTCCCCATTCTGATTCTCTCTTCTTTTCATACAGTGTAGTCAGAAGTACAGTTTCTTAAAAATAAGAGTTGTGATTCAGACAAAGAAACAATTGATATGATTTTCATTTAATAACTTTTCTTTTGATTTAGAATTTACAAGCTTTTGTATCTCAAAGTGTTGGCAAATGTCTCAGAAAGATCTAAATAAGACACTTTACTATAATATTTCAGAAACTTTTAAATATAAAATAAATAGGTAAAATAAAATAGGTTTCTGGAAAAAAAGTACTCTATTCATATTTTGACTGTAGAGCTGAACACTATTTTTCTTAATGAATATTTTCAGAACAGACGTTTTCTTGGAACAGCACGAGGCAAATCCAGCTGATCTCTTTGGATCCTGTTTTTGACTTTTTACACCCATCTAGTGGTCGCCACGCAGTACAACAGGATAAAATTTCTGTTGCAGCAGCAATGTCTTGCAGAAGCTTGTCTTTACCTGGTGATGCAAACCAAAGGACCTCTCCCAGGAGGTGAAACTGCAGTTCTGCCTAAAAGACTACTAAATTTTAAAAATTGACTATGTTACAATCTGACAGTGAAATCATTTGTTGAAGCCTGCCTTAGTTTCTTACTAGAAGAAATAAGACTGGTAATATAATATTCATGTGATGTCCACAAAAGCGGGATGAAGAAAATAAAACGAAACTGCAAATAAAACCATATTTCTTTAATCCAACTGAATACTTTTGGTTCAGTTTAATATTTAAGTCCACTGTTAAAGAAATAAATTTAGTATTAACTCTTTATTAAAAAAATTCATTCTGTGAGAGGGACTTACATTAATTTTCATTTATTTAAATCCAGCCTCTAACTTTTTTTTTAAAGTTCCCAGGCAAGTTCATATATATTTGAAATGATACTGCCATTGCAGAAATTAGTCTTACTGAGAACAGTCTTCTGTTTTACCTAAAATTGCAGGAATTATCTGCCTTCCTGCCCTCAATAGAAAAACAAAATATACAAACTATGTATTGATTAGGAGTTTGTGTTTTCTTGAAGTTTAAAGGGCATAAAAGTTATTCAGGAAACAAAATATTAATGTTAGGAAATTTGGATATGATGAGCTAAACCCATTAGCATTGTGATTATTTTGTGCTCCTGCAATATTTAGGAATTCAAGCTAAAAAGATATTGATTGATAACAAGTAGCAGTAGTCATGCTAGTAACAATGGTAATATTGGTTATGAACTAATGACACTACAAGCTGCAAAGGACATTTTACCGTAGCGTTCATGGTATCTTGATCTTTTCAATACATTCTCAAATACTCTTTGCGGGCAGATTTCACAGTCATCACAAAAATGCAACAAATAGGGGAAATGAAAGGCAAAGAGGAACTGCACAGTCCAAGATCACCTAGAAGTCTGGTGCTAAAACTCTAATTTGTTGTCTTGTGGTTTAAACTTTCTTAGTTTGAAGTTCATAAAGCAGTAGGACATCTTAAGACATAGGCATAGGCATAATCAAATCAAATCATCCTAGAAAGGAGTGTATGTGTTTGGATTCACAGGAAATTGTTCTGAAAACTACAGTGAAAAGAGAATTAAATTACTGTGCACTCCTGAAACTTTTTAATAATATTTTCTGCATTTATTTTTTTTAAAGAGAAACAAACAAACCAACTACATTTGCTTTTCTACATTCAAACTGTAAGTGTTGAATGCAAAGAAAATAATATAGTCTGAATGTGGCAGTAAGGTTGCAGTTCTAGAAATATATGCAAAGTAAAAATAAACAATGAAATAAATCATGAAACAAAAATCTATCCTCTGCCAGGCAGTGTGCATCTGTGTCAAAATAAGCAATATATGTTTATTTTATTAGCTCATTTAAGAAAAGAAAAAAAGGTCATGGGAATCTTGTCACTTCAGCAAAGGACTGAAGCGGCAACCTCATTGAAACTTCAGGTCAATGGGAGATAAAACAAGCTGGTACAGAGTAGCATGTACTGGCTGTGACACTTGTGCTAGCCTGAAGTCTAATCAGCAGCTGACTCGCACTGCATCTTTTCTTCTGTCCTTACCTGTAACTGGAAACCTGTGTAAGTCCTTCAAATGAACACCATTTTCAAAACGAATACTTTATATGGGTTCAGCAACAATGCATAATAAGCTGCTAACGCTTATCTATGTTTAAAACATTATGTGAAAGGTCCTCTGTTCATCCCTCATTCTTAAATGATTTAGTAGTGTGATTTTGTCCCCATTACTATGGCAAATGAGCCCAGAGATCTAGTCTTGCTAATCCACACATTTGTAACCTCTCAGATTGCATTCCACAAGACATCCAAACATGAAGCCACATGCTGCAAAAAGCCTCTGTACTGTACCAGATGGAGCTGTTGAGCTGTCAAACAGCACAGATTGCCATGAACACATCCTCTCAGCACTACCCACCTTGTACCAGTGTTTAATTGTTTGCAGACTCCCATTCAAGAAGTGATAATTTTCAAAGCCCTTTGTAGAAACATTACCATCTATGTAAAACAGCATCTACTCTCTCCTTCTCTTTCTTTTCCCTTGTCCTTCAGCCTCTCTAGAGAAAAGTGTTCTCTAGTAATGATAAGCCTCTTTACCACTCTTCATACCGAACACAATAACCAAAAGTGCTGAATCTAAATTGTGTGATTCAAAGACACAAATGGCTACAGAAGTTCTTCTGCTTGGCTATCAACAAGGACTCACTGTTTCCATCTGTCTGTAAAGCAGCAAACGTAAGGCAGGCAGATGGGCTCAAGCACACGCCTATGCCTTAATGCCACCGCAGCATGTTTTTCACTGGGCCAAGATAAAGTATGTACTTGAAATATTTTTGTAGTAACAAAATATTAGGATTGGGTACTCAATAAGGAAAAAGCCCTCAGCTGCCTTAGCAGTGGGAGACAGAATAACTGGTGTCCAGCTAAGGAGACTTGGGACCTGAAGAAATAAATAGTGAAATATCATATTTCCGCTGGTATAGAGCTCATGGATACTCTACTGCACCAGTAGAAAGCTTCCTGTATTTCTAATAGTATGGGATTTTTCTCTGCCAATTTTCTTTTACTTCAGCCTTGGGGCATTTTTAGTTTATCAGCAATTTTAAAGTATCTCTCTTGTGTGGCTTGTGTTTCTTCATAGCAATGGACATGACCAGATCTATATTTCTCCATTACTATCATGAAGCAGTTAGCTATGATAATTTATCAGAAGGATTTTATTATATTTTAAAATTCTTAGGTCAATAACATAAAAAAATTTCTCTTTTTTTTTTTGCAGTTTCGATGTAGACAATGGTACATCATCAGGACGAAGTCCCTTGGACCCCATGACAAGCCCTGGATCAGGGCTAATTCTTCAAGCAAACTTTGTCCACAGCCAACGTAGGGAGTCTTTCCTTTACAGGTCAGACAGTGATTATGATCTTTCTCCAAAGTCCATGTCCAGGAATTCCTCTATTGCCAGTGATATGTAAGTACCTTGTAAAATACTTCTAATTTATAATTTGTCCAATATCAAGATTTTTGCAGCCACAAGAAATTTTTTTTTTAAGTCAGACTGTAATCACTTATGCTAGCAAAGTAATGGAAAATTGTTTGTTTATTTCTTTAATGAAGATTATACTTGTTCCTGCAGCTTTTTGAAGGATATCATGAGGGTGTACTTGACATGTTTATGCACTCTATTAGCTTTGACAGAATAATAATGATATACAATACTGGTGTACTAAAACAGTAGGGAGAGCTATTTTCTGTCTCTTAAGTTATTTCCAAGAGAAACAATACAAACTCAATTTATGCTTCTTCATGATTTTAAGAAATAGATTAAATTTATTTCCAACTGGGTTCTTTTACATTTTTAGGCAAAAGATTTACCAGCTGGAAGAAAATAATATATTTGAGAGAGAAAAAATTATTTCAAATACTGTCTAAACTAAAAGAAAAAAATTCTAACAAAAGACCTTTTTAAGCTTATTCTGTCCTCTCTCACTATTCTGTGAAGTGTGTACTTTCTGCTAGTAAGTCATGATTTTCAAGTATGTGTGGACCCCAGGTTCCATGCATTGTGGAAGTCATGCAAATCCTTGTTTATTAGTAAGATGCCAAAAATATTTAAATGTTCCATCTTCTAGTTCTCTTCTAAGTAGGAGAAATTATTAACTCTTTTTTGTTTGGTTGGGGTTTTTTTTCCCTGAATGGCTCCAATTTGTATGGCCAAATTGGTGTATATGGTTCAAATATATATCTAAAATAAAGGATCAGGCTTGTCAGAATACCACAGTGAATGCTTTTTTTTAATGAGGCAAAGACCAGTAGATATTACCTTTAAAAAATAAGAGTAGGCACAAAAAAGAATAAGGGTTTTCACAAAAAATGAGTGAAATTAGAGCTGATATTTAATTTAAAGTCATAAATGAACACTCCTATTTTTTTCAGCTTATATAATTTTTAGAACTGTTGTTTTGTTTAATTATAGCTCTTTTTCAGAGCTATAATTAAACAAAACAACAAATTATAATTTTTCAGTGTAGAGTTTCAAGGTAAGAACATTTCCTGCCTTCAGAGAGGGTTAGTGTAAGGTCTGTGACTCAGTTAAGATCTGTGCATTGAAATACTCAGTAAACTTTGTGCCAAATGTGACCAGTTTTTGTTGAGACAAAATGGGTTATAACAAGGAAAATTCATCTTGCTTTGTTGTAAAAAATACGCATTTTTCTTGGAACAGTAGACCCCTTCCAGCAAATCTTCCTCTGACATATACCCTTTTTTATGGAGGGAGAAGATTCAAGCTTTTATTATGGCACCTGAACCAGGATAACATTTGTAAAGATTTTTACATTCAGGAGGACAATTCAGCTGACTGCATTGCTTAGATGAGTCATTTCAATGAAAGATTCAATTAGTGCTCCATCCTTGAACTCATAATCCACTTAATTTCCTAGAATTTTGGGTAATATTTCAGCACATGGCAGTAAATTGGATAAACAATATAATTACTGAAACAGCACACATTTTCCCCCTTTTTTCCCCCTCTCTATTTTCTTTTCAAAATTTTCTGGAAACACATTTACATATAAAATTTATTTGACCTCACATCTTGATAGATTTTCACAGTCTCTTGTTAGAGATGAACCTTTGTACTAAGAAGGTAAATATTCCTGCCACTGTTTTGGAGGGGAGCACATTAGGAAATATAAAAGGCAAGTTGTTCTCACCATGGAATATTAATAATTTTAAATACATCTAATTATAATAAGTTTGGCTGTATCACGGAAACTAAGTGGAAAAAAGAATTGGAATAAAAGGGGGGAAAGTTTAAAAAGATAAAATAGCATGGAATAAAAGAGAAAAGTCATGAAACTCCTTATGTATGCATTCAACCATTAACTGAATGTGCTTATGGAAAGAAAACCCATTGAATACTATTAAAATAATGAAACCATTCTGATTCAAAATCTTGCTAAATGAGGTGAAAGATTAAAGGATTGACAGGGGAAGTACACAAATTTTAGGTTAGTGTCAAATTTTGTTTCTAAATATGTGCTTAAGTATTGTTTGTTTTTTAAACATAAGCAATATTTATTATAAAATGTACACATCATTCAGGTAATGTAAGTCAATTAATTGTACATACAGTTTATTCTAGATCCCCTGATTCTTCAACCAGCCTCGATATTTCACTTTGTAAAGAAAAAGACAAAGCAAAAGGTGTACATCTTGCATTTGAAAGGGGTAGAACATAAAGAATTCTGGCATTTCCATTACTCTGAAATACTGAACTTTCCAGTCAGTAGCAATGCTTCAAAATTTTAGTCAGATGTGGAATGTCGTGTTAAGACAGCCAGTGGATGGCAGTGCTAAAGTGCTAAATTCATCGTGTCATTATTTATTATGTATGCAGCTCCAGCCAAGGAAGGGAACAAGTTGTGCTCAGCTGTTTGCAAACCCAAAATGAAAAGATGGGCTCTGCTACAAACCTGTAAAGCCAAAGTATAAGGTGATAACTAAGAGAGTAATACAGTCAGATACTATCCTCAGGAGAAGATAAAATGCCAGTCACTTTGCTCAAAATAGTAAACCTCACGGGGAAAGCAAATGGAGTTTCATGCAGGGAGTTGAGATGGAAAGTAAAGAAACAAGGGCAGAGAAGGGAGAGGTGGAAAGTTTTTTTTTTTTAAATCAGAGAATCTAAAGTATAATTTTATGAATTAGTTATGGAAAAGAATAAAAGGACAGGGTGAGTACAAAGTTGCTTTTATGAGAGAAGGTTAGTGGGACAATTGGGGGTGCAGTTTGGCAGAAAAAGCAGCTGAGTGTAAGAAAAGAAAAGCACATAAATTGGAGTGGGGATCAGTAATATTGTTTTAATTATCCGTTGGAAGAAATAACATGGCTGTTGAGAATAATAAAAGCAGGACATGGATATTATGCAAAGATTATGAAAAGCTGCTAAAGTTTGTGAACTGGAGAGGTGAATAGTTTAAACAGGAAGATACAAGGTCCAACGCAGATGAGCACAGGTGTGTTGTGAAGACTCTCTGTGGGATTTCCAGCAGAGAAAAGGATGTGCAAGAGAAAAAGAAGTAACTTAATGAGGCAGTTAGGGGTAGTGAGACAATATGAGGAGTTATAGTTTAGGATCTGTGATGAAAGACAGGAAAACAAGTTTAAAGGGAAAGAAAATAAAGAATGGAAAACAAAAACAAAAACAAAACAAAACAAAAACCCAAAAAACAACAAAAAAAAACAACCAAAAAAAAGTTCCCAACAGCTACACAGAGAAAAAGGAAGTAATATCTAGATGAAAGATATGCAAAATCATTATTGGAAAAATTGTCAGGCCTATATTTGAAGACCTTAGTGAAGCAGAGAGCTGTGTGGATATCTTGGTGAGGTGGTCTGATTGATTAATGCTAACTTATCTGTGGCTGTCCAGACCTTGCAAATACAGGAAGAGGTTGAAGTGATAACACTTTTTATACTCCTTCTTGTTAAGGGATCACTGCCCTGGTTAATGGAGGAAGAGATCAAATTAGTAGAGAATTTCTGTTTTAGCAGAACCCAGGTCTCTAATCAAGTTAAAAAATAAGTTCCTAGAAAATAAAAAGCCAATAAGGTGTCCAGTGCTGAATCACAGCCCATGTTTTATGCCTCTCTGAAGGACAAAAACGTGTGTAGTCTCCCAGTGAGTCTGAAAAGCAGACCAGAGGACAGCAGTCTAGACCAGAGGACCAAGACATTCTCAGTAGACAAGTCTGTCCAAGCTCACTGTGTTTCTGAGTGTAAGAAGACATCTTCTGACCTCTCATTTAAGTCTGTTCTTCTCCCATTTCCACTAGCTCTCAGAACACAGCACAGACATCCTGGTTTTCTCAGGACTTGGCCAGCTTAACCTCTCTCATAAAAAAGCAACTACTGGTGGGGTTTTACAGCTCTCTTTAGAGAAGGAAGCATTGTTTTCTTCATCAGCTTATCACTATAAACTCCAACTCTATTATTACACAGAATTTGCTGATTTCTATTAAAACTTGCTTGTATGCATTAAAGGAGCAGAACCCAGCCAAGGAACTGTGGGAACTGCAGGGTCACTGGTATGGTGATCTGCTAAATGGCCACCAGACACCCATTCCCTGACCTGGACAACCTACTGCTACTCAGTCAGTAACTTCTGAAGACAGCAGCATCCCTCTGCTGCTGTCTGTGATAAAAGAAATATCAAGAGAATGAAGTTTTCTCTAGGACATTTTCCCTACAGCTACAGTTACAGAGGATATATTTTCTCATCCTCTAAGGCAAGATTTTTCTTTTTTTCCTGAGCCAGTATGGCCTGGTTTTATTAATCAAATATTGTGATTATGCATCTTAAGTTACAGAGAAAAAACACACCTTTTTCATGAAAGATGCTAGCCAAGATTCTAGGACAACAGACATGTATTTACTGAGAGAAGTAATTGTACTTCAGTTAAAAAAATTAAAAATAATTATCTATTCTCCAGAAAATTTGCAGCTGAAATTCTGTTCAATCATATTCTTCTGTAGGAATCTCTGATATTATTATTTCATGTTTATTACTAGCTGAAAATGAACAGTTAAACTTCAAAAAAGCCTGATCTAAAAAAGAAGCATTTTCTATGTGTGACACTGTTTAGAAACAATCTTTAATTTAAAAAATACATTCAATTGCTTGAGACATTTATTTGTTCATGTAAAGAAATGTATTTACTTCACTTTAGTAAAAGCAGACAAATATTTTGCTTCATTGTATTTTTCTTTTTTTTAAGGGCCTTAAATGAAGTTCCAGGTTGCAGCTTAAATTAATCTAAATAATTTTCAAGTCACTTACAATTTTTTTGAGCTACAAATGGAAAAAAAAAAAAAGAAAAAAAAAAAAGATGACTGTCCTTTTTGGTTGTTTGACACATTTTACAGGTGGAATTCAAAACAAAGAGCTCAACTTAGAATGCAACTAGC